TTCATCGGAACAAGATTAGATTCTTGCGCTCCGACATGAGCTTTCAGTAGACCTGATTAGATCCTGTGTAGCTCTTGGTACTAAATCTACACAGGGTTCTTATTGTTCTGATCTACTGACGTCTTTGTTCCGTGCGAGGTATTCTATTTCTGATATCGTAGACCTCTTACAATCCACGGACCTCTTAAGTGTTCGGTCCTCTTATATTGGATCCTATGATACATACATAGGAAACGTACCTTACGATAGGTATGTAGGAATGGTATGATCCCTCATTCCTTTCTTTGAAGCTTCGTATCGTATCGTACATATACTTCTAATACAGTACGTACGTATCCGTTGCAATCTGTATGGCTTGGTGTGAAACTTAGCAGGATTGGTTTTGGGAACACTCCAAAGGAGACTGTCAATCTGTGCAGAGCTAGTAGGAGGCAAGTTGTGGGTCAGGATATTCCATTCACTTTGGGAGTCAGTGGTATAAGTTGGGTGAATGCTAACCACTCCTCGTAGTTGAGTAATTGGTTGTCAATGTGACCAAGGGCATTATGATCAAGGGCTTGGATGATGGTAATGTGATGAGATCAAAGATAAACTTGTTGTGTGTGGATGGCAGTGGCAAAATGTTGATTCATAGGGTGTTTCAAAAACGCCAAGAAAGTGTTGACCATTCAAATGAAATCAGGATGCAAACTGTCACTCAATTTACCAAAAATGTAATGGAGCAGTGCCTTGTGTGACAATGGACAAACCACTCCAGTGGCCCAGGTTTGATGGATTTGTCGTGCACCATTCACCAGTCCCTTCCACAGTGGACATACAGTGGTGACCGATGATCAATTGGCTGTGTTTTGGAGGGCTCATGGGTAACCGTTGGAGTATCAATACCATGCAGAAGTTTGCCTCCGGGCAGTTTCCAAGCAATACGCAAAGGAATCAGCGCTTGGGGTTGAATCCCAGGACAGGGAGATTCGGACATGAATCTTGTTTCATCATTTAGTGGACCAGTAGGTTGGAGGGGCTGCTGTTCAGCTGGGAGTGCAGGGTTCTGCTTGGGAACAGCACAGGGTGTCGTAGAGACAGATTTACTTGGAGTACTAGTAGTACTAGATACTGTGGTGGCTGCAGTAGTACTTGTAGTAGTAGACTCTGCACTGGAGAAGGTGACAGCCTTGGGTGTAAAGGTGCAAGGAGTATGAATGCCCTCAAGAATGCCACAGGTTCAAACAACAAGGCCAGGGGTATGGTCATCTACCACCTCAGGAAGCTCAACTCATCTCCTGGAATGAAGTCTGTATTGACCTAATTGGTCCAACCGAATTGGTGATTAATGCTCTCACGTGCATTGATCCGGTCACTAACCTATTAGAGATCATCAGAATCAACAACAAATCAAGTGAGCATGTGGCTGAGCAATTTGCCAACTGTTGGTTGTCCTGATACCCAACAAGACCTGTGTTCATGGTAATGGCAAGGAATTCATAGGAATCCCATTCAAGGAGCTTTTGAATCAATTTGGAGTAAAGAGTGTTCAAACTACAGTGAAAAACCCACAGGCCAATGCAGTATGTGAGAGAGTCCACCAAACTATAGCAAATGTATTACGTGCTAATCTTCACACGATGTCCGATGAATCTGAGTTTGATGAAGAACAACTGATTGACAATACACTCGCCTCTGCAATGCATGCCATCAGATGTGCTGTAAATGCTTCATTGAAAACCTCACCTGGAGCTCTGGTCTACAATCAAGACACAATGTAATGGATATTCCACTCATTGCTGACCTAAACACTATCAGAGATAAATGCCAACACCTGATAGATGAGAATCTTAGAAGAGTAAATGCTAGGAGAATACCTTTCCGGTATCAGGTTGGCCAGAAAGCCTACATGAAATACTATGACCCAGACAAGCTCTCTCAGAGATTGCATGGCCCCTACCCTATAGTGGAAATTAACACCAATGGAACAGTTGTCCTGCAAAGGAGTGACAATGTCTGTGAAACAGTGAGCATTCAGAAGCTTGTTCCTTATAAGGGAACTGTCAATGCCACTCCTGACAACCCAGCAACAATAGAAGAGGAGCCCCCTATTGAAGATCAGGATGTTATTGCTACAGTTTAGTAGCAATACTGACGGCAGCATTCCTATTGGGGATAATGCAACGGAAACGTACATATGATACAGAATTAAGGATACATACATACTACACCAGCATATGTGCATATACAGAATTAATATGGTTGGACATACCATTCCTACCTTTGTACTGTAGAGTACTATTTATATGTATACATCACACAATCCATTGTACCAAGAACCAAGAGGTCTAAGATACGAGGTACAGTGATGTTGCAAAGAATAAAGATGTCATGAGTCCGGAATAGAAGAATCCTCGTGTAGATTCAGTACCAGAATCTACATAGGGATCTAATTGGAACTCTAGAATTCTCATGTCTGCATGATGCGCACACACGATAATCTTTAATCATAATTTCATTATTCATACACACCACTTAAAAGTACACATAATTTTGTGCAACCTCAATAGGCATATTAGAAGCAACTCTCTCTTCTTCTGTCAAGCTTGTAATGAAGGATAGTTCTTGGTTCTTCAATCAATCTCTTTCCCTTCCATATGCAGTCTCCCTCATAGTTATCTCATCCTCTTTCAGTTTCTTTAGCAAAGTCTCATCAGTATCAGTCCAAGAAGGTGATGGAGGGGTGGGATCAATTTTCACTTTCATCCACATATCTAATAGTTTGTCTTTCTTTGCAGGAATTTTCTTTTGTTGCTTCCACTGGCACAAAATCTTAAGAGTAGAAGAAACTGGGAGGGACTTTGCATCTTCGTCCTTCTTAACATCTTTTCCCTTGGAACCAAAATTCTCAATCAAACCAAGAGCTTTTCTGTTCAAAGATTCTACTGTTTTTGCAGCCTTCTTCGCTGCCTCAAAGTACTTAATCTTATCCAATTGTCTGTTTCTTTCCTTTGCAATAAAATATTCCTTCCTGTTCAGTGTATCTCTGCCAGTTGCAATAAAGTATTGGCTTGAATATTTAAAGACTGCAATTGCATCTTGTCACGCCTGGTATTTGGTTCCGTCACTTGTTGCACCAACTGTGCACTCTTTTGTGGGGCATACTTAAGAAAAACAGCATTATTCAAAATTTTAATTTCTTCAGTGTTTCTCTTCTTGTGTGCAACCAGTCAGTGCAGCTGTCATTGGATCTGTGGTCAAAACAATCAATCCATCTGGCAACACGATCAACTCATGTTGAACTTTTTTGTCCTCTAGGAATTTGCACGTGAACGGTGCAATTCCAATGGTTCTCTATACATCTTTGCATTGGTCTATCAAAAAAGCCTCATCAAAGGCTATATTTCCTTCTGGAATAGCAAAATAATGATCTCCATGGCCATACCATTTCTCAGAAGGAAGCAAAGCATCAACAGCAAGTAGTGATAAAGTCTGCACTTTGTTTGAACTGAAACAACATACTTGTCTGTCCAAAGCTCACCTATTCCCAGAGGATATGGAAACATTCTTATCTAATGCACCTACCTCCCTGCTCACATATTACCACCAGGTCTATGACAAGACCATTTGTGCAAGTGTCAGCAAGGCCTTGCTCACATTGACCTCCAAAACATGTCTGATTTCCCAGTATTTTTCACATCTGCCTCATAGTAAACAACCCCTGGAGAGCGTCACATAAAATGGGCTGGTCTTTGACAGGTACTCCAAGAAAATCCTCTGCATTACCAAAGCACCACCAAAGATTTCTTTGGTCTCTGCCACAACCAAACGTACCATTCAAACTACTATGAGCAAATATTTCACATAATTCCTCAGCCCAACCAATAAGCTGGTCGCACTTCCAGCACCAAAATTCCCTGGAGGGAAGTGCCGCCCCTAAGTGCAACTAGAACCATACTTTCCACCAAAAGCTATGGTTCTGGCCATATATTCCCTCTTCTAGTTCATGAGGTTAAATATAACATTAAGTTTTTTTACTCAGTCCACTTGAGACATCTTTCCTCTATTTTGTTAGCATTCTTTGTAACCTTTAAGTGCCCAGCAAATGTTGGAAGCAATCTGCGGTATAGGTTTACATAATCATTTAGCAAACATGGGCCAGGCATTAAGCAAGTCTTCAACATTGCAATAAAACCTTGACAGCAAGGAATCTTTTCCTTTTCCTTGCAAGCCAAAGCAACAAAAGATGATATAGGGTCTCCCAGTGCAACTATTGGACTGACAAATCAATCTCTTGTGTCCCTTTCCAGGAGCCCCAAGGTTATCCTTCAAGTGCCATTGAACTGTGTTTGCCTTCAGCAATGTGTTGCACAGTAAATTAACCTGAAATACAATACTGACAACAGAGGACTGGCAGTACCTGACTTTCTTTGCCATAGCATTGAATTCATCTTTATGAGCCTGTTTCTGTAAAACTTGTTCACCATCTTGATATGAGCTTGCTTAGGAGTATCTGGGCTCTCTTTTAGAAGAACTGGTGCAAGGGCTCCCTTCTTCGGACTGCTTTCATCCTTGCTCTTTGCTGGTGCTATCACTCATAGCTTCAAGGAGCACCATTGCATTAGTTAGTATCATCTTGCTGTTGGTTGATTTGAATGAAAGGGGGGGAAAGTAAGCTAAAACAACAAGCAGCAGCAAATCAAGGTAAGGCACAAAGAGAGGATACATTGGCAATCCAACTGTTGGTTGATTGTTGCAGAGATATGGCCAGGTGGATCCCTTAAGAGTGGAGACAGAGGCCCAAGGCAAGTCGGTGGATTGCTTTCCCCCTCTTAGTGGAAGCAACGGAGGCGCAAGGCGAGTCGTTGGCAACGCAAACCTTCCCTAATCAGCAGGCTCTTGCGAGTCGATGGATCCACTCTTGGTGGACGCGAGGCGAGTCAATGAGTCACTTGAGGTACAAAGAAGCCAGTCTAAGTTGAGGTGCAAAGAAGCCTTGGTCTTAGTCAGTTGAATGGAAAGAAATTCCTCCAAATTCATTACAGTAGATCCAATAGTTACTCCGTATTACATTGTTCTAATCATTTTATGCGACGCTACTGCTATCGCCCACCATAACGACGTGGTGTAGCATAGAAGTGTCGAGATAGTGTACCTCGATATGGAAAACGGTTTGCCATCCAGTCAATCCCACCACATTCATCTAGTATCGGGATCGATGAAGCAAAGCCGACCGCCGAAGAACAACTCAAAGCTCCTCCTTTTTATTTATTGTTATACCACATCGATTTGTCTTTCTTCTACTCTAAGGTGGCTCCGTTAGCGTCGGCAAATTCAGGAAGCGACGCCTTGGGGACGATTTCCTCTGGCATTTGAGAAGAGTGGTGGTGGACAATCTTCCATTCACCTTCTTCGTTGGTGTACACAAACGAGTAACGAGCCTTGACCTTGTCACCGGTGGCTCCCATGGTGAATTCATAGATACCATCATCCATGGCCCAGTTGTGTCCAACAGTTACATATGATTCAAGAATCTTGCCCTGGGGTTCCTTCTTGCAGAAATCAACGAAGTAGGCCTTAATGGAATCGTAGTCCGTTCGGGGAACATCGGAAACGGTGGGCAAGAGGCAAGGGGCAGTAGCTACAGAATAACGAGAAGCAACTTCATCAGGGTCGAGAGTGGCCAATGCATCGTTCCACAAATGGAAGAGTCCTCGGACTTGGTCGTTCGTGATGGACGCTGGTCCTGGGACAACTTCTTCTGGCATTTGGGAAGAGTGGTGGTGGGCAATCTTCCATTGTCCATCTTCATAGGTGTAAACAAAGGAATAACGGGCCTTAACCTTGGCACCGGTTGCCCCCATAGTGAATTCATAAATACCGACATCCTGGGCCCAGTTGGTTCCAATAGTGACGAAAGATTCCAAGATTTTACCCTGTGGCTCTTTGAGCAAGAAGGCATCGAAGTAGTCCTTGATGCTGGCGAAGTCGTCACGGGGAACATCAGAAACAGTAGGCAATAAGACTCCCTTAGAAGCATATCGAGAGGCAACCAAGGAAGAATCACCAGTGGCCAAGGCATCGTTCCAGAGATGGAAAAGTCCCTGAACTTCCTCCTTGGTGATGGGAGTGGCAATATCGATTCCTTCGGGCATGACGCTGGAATGGTGGTGGGCAATCTTCCACACGCCATCCTCCATGACGTAAGTGTAGGTGTATCGGCCCTTTACCTTAGCGCCATTCTCTGCACCCATGGTAAACTCGTAGATTCTGCAGTATTTTTCAGAAGTCCCGTCGAAAAGTAAATAAGATGAATATCATTCGTGTCAGAATCGCAGCAAAAATTGCGGAAAATGGTATCACTAAATATCGAGCAGTCCATACACCATACGGCCACGAAACCAAAGAAAACTACATCCTCATAAGTAAACAAGTAGAGTCTACGCACCCGGCATCTTGGCACCATCCGTTTCCGATGCGGATGTTTCCGCTGAGGATCTCGCCCTGCGGTTGCTTCTTGAGAAATCCATCAAAGTAATCCTTGATGCTGTCGTAGTCAGTACGAGGCGTATCGCTTACGGTTGGTAATAATACAGCTCCGGACTTTGTGGAGTATCGGCTGGCAACCAATCGCGAATCGCCGGTCGCGAGAGCGTTGTTCCATAATTTGAAAAGAGCTCTGACTTCTTCGGGGCTGATATCTTCGGCAGAAGTTGCTGTGCGGCTTTCGTCCAAAAAGAAGGGCGGATCTTCGGTTTTGGGAGCTGGTTTGGGGATTGCCTTTTCGACCTCAACCTTTCGAGCGACACGCTTCGGTCGAACCGGGACGAAATCGAATGACATCGCATCAGTCTCAGAAAGGGAAGTTGTCGACGGCACTGCGACAGAATCGCGAGAGATCGGTGCAAAAGCAGTCGCCGAAGCGGCGAAGGCAACCAGGGAGAGTGCGGAGGATGCGAATTTCATCTTAGACCGATTGCTATTCTAGATTGTATTATCTTTGTGGTGGTTGACAGAGAACCGATGATTGTTGATACTACGGTGAATTAAAGCTGAGATGATATCCTTCGTAGACGAGATGACTCTGGATAATTCTACCGAAACGCACGCATACGTACGTAAGTAGAGCTATTAAAGGCAAGCCCCGTACTGGCAAGTTATTGGCAATTCCCATACAAATGCTAGTAGAAAATTTTAGCTCATTTTTTCAGTAAAAAACCGTTATATTAACTGTCAATTGAATAAAGGCGGTTAAAAAATGGTCCATCAACTTCTGAAAAAATTCTKGCGCGGAGAATGGCTGAGGTCCGCGCCAGTTTTTTTTCAGAAACTTCACCTGTTCACTCAGTACAAAACAGTGCACTACCATTACCTGCGCATGATTTTTTC